CTATTTCTCATGTCAGACCACCCGTCAGATAATATAGAAACTCCAGTTGTATTCCTTGTCGCCTTTACATCTTCAACTATTTTACCTGTCGATTCCTCTTCCTCTTTAAGAATCCATGTCCGGAGTTCGTAAATTGAAGGGGGTTGAAAACCTCTACCGTATGAACCAAGAGCCCGACACATGCTGATAAATGAAGGAGATTCAACCGCATTGAAAGGTATTGCATTTTCAAAGAAGAATCTGCCAACATCTAAACAGACGCTATTTCGCATCTCTTTCATCTTCGCTGCATTCATCTTTGGATGTGTCTCATCATCACCGCCCATGTTTGACACAAACCTATCTATTGGTCCTCTAATGCCTCTAGAAGAATCTTTTTCTTTATCATTCTTCTCATAATAAGAACCAAGCTCGACCATATCTTCAAATTGTTGTTGTGATAGTTGTCTTTTCATGTTTCCAGCATTCATATACTCCGCAATCTCTTGTTTAACATCCGCAGGAACTCCAGGACATGGGGCTACATTCTTGTGAGTACATGCTAAGTGTTCCTTCATCCGCTTCACCCCTCCAGTGATGGTTTTCTTGCAAAACATACACTCGATGTAGACGTATGACTTTTTATCACCTCCCGTTTTTTCAATTTCTTTTCCATACTTCCAAGCTGGATCCGTTCGATGGTTCTTTCCCATTCTACAATACAAGAAGAAAACTAAGTTAGTCACAAGACAACATAAAAAGTTAAATACTTGCCATCGGAAAATAACCAATTCCAGGTGGTTTGAAGTGCATTAAATATGGACAAAAAGCCACACAGACTAAATATCAACATGAAACAAGATACTGTCATTGTGCAAATTACAAAAGAGATTTTTGCAAAATGAAAGGGAGATTCCATGTGAAGTCGTACCATAATCAGGTGGACACTTCTGAAAATGACAAGGTCCCGGAGGGGTTGACTGAGGAGGAGTTTGTCAGGTGTTAACTTGAAGGCATTGAAAAAGTTTGGTCGATCACATGTAATTTTCTGAGGCCATGTTTTATTTGAAAAAGTATAAATAAAGAAACTACAGATTTCTGTAATAATTTCTCAATTTAGATGATTTTTATTTTATGATCTATCAACCAAGTGATGCAAAGATAATAAATAAAAAAGACAGTAGCATGAAAACAGTCAGTTTACCTTTCATTAATTCATTTCATGCAATACAAAGTGATTATANATTTCGGATATATATGCAGGAAAAAAGACAGTAACAGCAGGAGAAGAAAAAGATGCAATACAAAGTGATTATAGCCATGTGATTTCGGATATATATGCAGGAAAAAAAACAGTAACAGCAGGAGAAGAAAAAGAAGAAGAAGAAGAAGGGGAAGAAGAAGAATATATGATGAAGAAGAAATAGGAGAAGGAGAAGAAGAAGAAGAAGAAGAAGGAGAAGAAAATACCTGATGAAGAAAGCTCCCAGCAGCCCGTAAGGAGAAGAAGAAGCCGGCCAGAAAAATGCAGACTGAAGAAGAAGGAATTCTGCCTGTTCAGTTCCCTTCCTGTCTACGGTTTGTATATATGATAGATGGTTTAGGTTAGTAACATTTGGGCCCACAAAGTCCTTTTTAATGGGCCCTTTTTTTTTAAGAATGGGTAAGTCAGATTTTTATTAGTTATGAAAACAAAAAAAAAAAAATTAAAGAGGCGCACGCCTCTTGCACCGTGAGGCGCTTTCCCTGAGGCGTGCGCCTCAGTTATAGAGGCGCTGGCCTCACACTTTTAGCCTCAGCAGAACCGCCTCAAGGCATGGCACATAAACCTCATGGTGAGGCGCGCCTCACCAACGCCTTTTCATACCATGTGGCACAGCAAACGTTCAAATTGGAGAAAATGATATTTCTAAAAGAATTGTAGCCATTCGAGTTAGCTTTCCAACGCACTTTGAATCACCTCAATAGGATATCGAGGAGAGAAAGTCATGACAAATAACTGAAAGCTGCTCGGGACAAGCCTAGGCGCCTGTAGAGGAGGCGCGCGCCTCCTCTTCTGAGACGCCTGAGGCTGCCTAAAGGGTTCAGGCGCACGCCCTAGTTTGTACTAGGAGCGAGCCTTAATGTAAAAATGGGAAAAATCTGATTTTCCTTTTTTTTGTTTTGGTAACAATTCAATGAAATCTTTTTTGGCATCCTTTAAATACCATAATCCACCCAAAACGTAGGGAAACTTCCCCATCCCTAAAAATTCATAAATTTAACATGTTTTGGAGGAGAAGAACGAGACGCAATCATCAACTAAAGGCAAATTATACAAGTTTATTGAAAATCCTTAATCCAAAGTCATGATTCAAGCCAAGAAATTGGATTTTTTCCAATTTATCCATGATTTCTCGATCCGGGTGATGTCTTTTCATTATTTCTTGTATAGTTCAATAATTATGATGGTTGGCTAGGTTTTTCAATTGTATTGGATTAATGTTTGAACCTTATTTTCATTATTTCAATTCAAGACTTTAATTTAGGAATTTTGTGTTATTGTTTGATTGATTTTACATACCCATTGCACTATTTATTGTGTGATCACCAATTAAGTAATTAGTTACTTGTTGTAATGTAGAAATAGTCACAATGAGTCTAGAACGCGGTAAAATCAACATGTGTAGCTAGAATTAAGAATAATCTCTTCCACATATGCAACCTTATGATAATCTAAACTAAATGCATGACTTTCATATGAATTCGGACTAGGAATAGAATCATCTCGTGTTAGTCATAGGTTGATCCATCTTGAAAAAGAGCATTTAACATATGAGTTTTATCGGTTGTCAAAAATGTAAGAATTGAATAGAATGACTATTGAAAATTGAAATAAATGGAAATATGGGGATACATGAATCAAATACAAGCATTCACGTTAGATTTAATCACTTTTTATCACTTTCTCATAGTAGAATTAGAATAAATAACAAACAAATCACAACTTTTTTTATGTCACCACACTTCGAATTTAATAATAGCTATTGAACTACAAATTAAACCTTATTCCTCGTTGGAAAGATACTCTTAACTCACAAATCTTATTACTTGTACAACGATCCCGTATGTTTGCGGATTTCGCACGATACTTTTCAATGTAGCTTCCTTCATATCCTTGATGCCTTATCATGTTGCAAAGTCCAACAGCTTGGTCTACCCTCAACATATGAAACAACTTAGCAGATCTGTAGTTCTGCAAAATCGCATCTTCGGAAAGTGCCTACATTTTGCTGTGTAGAGGATCTGTGGACAGTCACACAAAGAAGACTGCCAGGCAGCACCCAAAATCAAATGGGAACCTGGACGTACTTAATGTGTAGATGAAAAGGTGGTATTGGAGAAAATAGGCTAGTCTGAGAGACTTAGAGTGACGATATCCACAAGTCCAGAACATTATAAAATCTTGGCTCTTGAGAAGGAAAAAATTAACGAAATGGCACCAGGAGACTATTTGAGGCATAAAGAGATTGCCTGACCCTTTCTGCACATTTTGAAAGTATTATGTGCAACCATCTGTTTTAACCTTAAGAGGTTTCATTTTGTAGTTGAGGTGCAATACAGAATTTTCGTGTGTATTTACTTCAAAGGCATTTTCAGTCTTCAAGATGCCTAAGTTTGCAAAATAATTATCCTGTAGTTCTATTTTAGTGGAGTGACCATGACTATCGAAAGAACTTCAAAAGAGTACGTATATCTCCGCCATAAAAGTATGGTCTTCCTTGAGCAACATATATTATGCTTCCATACGCATTATTATTTTGCTTC